TCTGGTCACTCCCAATGACCCGTGGTCACTCCCAATGACCTGTAACCCTTCCCAGTGACCCGAGGTCACTTGGGATGAGCAGTGGTCACTCAAGATGACCCCTGGTCACTCCCAGGTGACCTTCTGGGGGTTCTTGATGACCCTCAATGGTCCAGATGACCGATGGTCACTCCCAATGACCTCTGGTCACTCCCAATGACCCGTGGTCACTCCCAATGACCTGTAACCCTTCCCAGTGACCCGAGGTCACTTGGGATGAGCAGTGGTCACTCAAGATGACCCCTGGTCACTCCCAGGTGACCCTTGGTCATTCCAAGTGACCATCTGGGGGTTCTTGATGACCCTCAATGGTCCAGATGACCGATGGTCACTCCCAATGACCCATAACCCTTCCCAGTGACCCGTGGTCACTCAGGATGACCCCTGGTCACTCCCAGATGACCCCTGGTCACTCGAGATGACCCTTGGTGGGTCCAAGTGACTTTCTGGGAGTTCTTGAGGACCCTCAATGGTCCAGATGACCGATGGTCACTCCCAATGACCCATAACCCTTCCCAGTGACCCGTGGTCACTCGGGATGACCCGCGGTCACTCGGGATGACCGGCGGTCACCTGGCTCTCCACCAGCATGGCCATGTCCACGAACATGTCGTGCAGCTCGCGGATGCTGGTCTCCAGCTTGATGATCTCGTTGTGCCGCGTCTCGATCTCGTTCAGCGCCTGCTTGGTCATCTGCGAGTCCATCTTGATCCTCTCCACCAGCATGGCTCACCTGGGGATCACCTGGGGGCTCCTGGGGTCACCTGGGGGCACCTGGGGGCTCCTGGGGGCTTTGGGGTCACCTGGAGGCACCTGGGGGCACCTGGGGGTCACCAAAGGTCCCTGGGGGCTCCAGGTGGTCACCAGGTGGTCACCCAGGATCTCCAGGTGGTCACCAGGTATCACTTGGTGGTCACCAGGTGGTCACCAGGTGGTTCTGGAGGTCACCAGGTGGTCACCAGGTGGCCAGCAGGATCTCCAGGTAGTGCTGGAGGTCAGCTGGTGGTGACCCAGGATCACCTGGTGGTCAGCTGGGGTCACCTGGTCCTGGAGACCTTCAGGTGGTCACCCAGGATCTCCAGGTGGTCACCAGAGAACTCCAGGTGGTCACCAGGTGGTCCTGGAGGTCACCAGGTGGTCACCAGGTGGTCACCAGAGGGCTCCAGGTGGTCACCTGGTCACTCCCAGTAGCCCCAGTGACCCCCAGTGACCCCTGGTCAGTCCCAGTGACCCCTGGTCACCCTGGTGGCTTGACCAGTTGACCCCCGATGACCCCCGAGTGACCCCTTGACCCCCGAGTGACCCCTCACTGATCTCGAGCTGTCTCTGGATCTGGTCCTTGCAGCGGTCAGCGAACACTGACCACTCCCATGAGTGACCCCAATGACCCCTGACCCCTGAGTGACCAGATGACCCCTGAGTGACCCCCGAGTGACCCCTTGACCCCCAGAGTGACCCCTTGACCCCCGAGTGACCCCTCACTGATCTCGAGCTGTCTCTGGATCCGGTCCTTGCAGCGGTCGCGGTACTTGGACTGCGTGGCGTTGTACTCGGTCATCACCTCCACGAACTTCCGGGACAGCGTCGAGTGCTGGGCAGGTGAGACACG